GAAAATGTTTTGAAAATGATGGTGGCCACAAATGTACAAATGTGCTGGATACAATTGATGTATGGATTCAGAGCTGTAAGAGCCCCCAGTACAACGATTTATAATCATAATTTTTAAAAAGATAAATAATTTTTCATCTTAAGTATTCGGTAGTGTTTATAATGCATCCTTAGATAAAATAATTGCCAATTTTCTATTACTGTTCTTTGTGTGTGGTCTGGATGGCTGCGACTAAGCACCCTAAAATTTCAGGGATTCAAGGTTGATTTCTCAATCACACTGTTGTCCATCGTGGGCGTTCCTGGTTACATCTACAACCAAAAATCAAAGTAGGACTTGAGAATCTAATTGCTTCCATCTGGGGCTCCATCTTCTGTCAAGTCCTGGCACTCCTCTTTCAACCAGATGACAGGGAAGAAAGTGACGGATCAGTGCTTGAGCCAGGCAAGGGAAGGGAGACTCCTCACTCCTCCCTGTGCCCCGCTGTCCACACTCAGTCACAGAGCCACACTCATCTACAATGAGGGAATTCGGAAAGTGTCTGATCACGTGCTCAGGAGGCAAAGTTGCAATTTTCAGAAGCTATCACCTTGGAGGTCCCAATTCCACAAAATTAAGCAGCTTAACATTCTTAGAAAAATCACTTAAGGTTCTCCAAACCCCAGTGGACTGGAAAATGCTTACTACATCCCATATGCTATTTAAAAAAAAAAAGCAATTTGCGGTAAATATAGTCAACCCTAATATTGTGAGCATTAAAGGAACAATTGAATAATAATCTATAATAATATGATCCTAATGACTAAGTAGGAATGACAGGCCTTCTACGGACTGAACCACTATTACCAGGCACACGGGAAAAGAATTACCACTGGCACAGATCTTCCAGTCAAAAGAAAACAATTACATAATCTCATTGCTATGAAATATTTGAAGTTTGTAGGTTCTTCTAGCTTTATTCCCACCACCTGAGTGCACTTTAAAAATTCACCATGAAGAACCAGCTCTCTTGTTTTATGAAAGGGATGAATTTTCTTTCTTTCTTTCTTTCTTTCTTTCTTTCTTCTTGCTATTTACTTTCTCCTTAATCATCCTGTTTCTGACAGTCATCTTGCTTTACAGTTGTCCTGGGTTGGTTAATGTCAGCAAGTGACTTTTTTTTTTTTAACGTAGTTCAAGTATAAGAAAAAATTAGTATGAGTTACCCATTTGGAGAGAAAATGAGCTGCCTGTGTCGACTCTTCAATTAGGTAACTATAAGCTTTAAAATGTGGTAACTATGCGAGTAACCATAGAAAATTATAAAACTCCCAGATGCACGCACCGAATTTCCAAGGTTCTTTTTGAGCTGCAGCGGAGCAACCATAGAAAACAGCAGTGCCCAGGTGTCGCTTGTTTTCGCTCTCTCTACACGTGCGTTTGGCCATTGTGGGCACCGGAAGGACCCCCTGTTGGAAAAGCAGCCTTCAGCTGCAGAATATTCGTGTTGAAATCAAACGTACTGTTTGATCTCTGGAGCTACCTCCATGTTAGCACAACTTAAGGTTTTACAAGTTGCCAGTCTTTTTCTGATCTCTTACTTTATTTTCAAACCCCAGCCCCAAATTATTTCATCTTCTTGTGAACCGTGCCTACAGAATGTTTCCTTTTTTAAAACTCTTCAGTAGAATTTTTGAATTTGTACACATTAGAACGAGCAGCCTAGACTCTTAATGAAAAGCAAAGCCATTTTTAAATCACAAATGACTGCTGTCATAAAATAGTAGCTGATATTTCGGTGTGCAAATGAGAATAGTTACCAGTTTCTCCCTATTTAAGTGAAGCAGTATTTGTCCTAGATGTTTTTTATCCATGTATTATTCAATCGTGCACTAAAAATGTTACCAAATGTAGATATATTTTAATATACAGTAGATGTATAAATATGTAGATGTACATAGAGTATTACTCCATTCCTTTATAAGAGCAATGTGAGACAGACCCTAAACTTCCAGCTGGTGTATATTTAGAAAAACAGACCACATGGGAACAAGCGGCGTGCTTCCAGATCTGAGCCAGAGGTAATCTGTAATCTCATTTCTCCTGCGTGTTGTGATAGTTCTGCTTAGAATATCATAACTTCCTTTGTGAAAACATCTCCTTAGAGGATTTAATTCTTATTCATACATACAGGATCTGCTCACTCATTCCCTTCCTTACCCATCCATCGTAGAATGGATAGCAGAAACCACGAAAGGGCCCTGTCTCTACCGGTTCTGGCTGGCTGCTCTCATGGCGTATCACCCTCCTGAGTAGAAAACCCCGGATGCAATGATTTGATCCTAAAGCCGAGAGCACTGATCTTTGAACGAGCACATCAAGCTGCCACACAGAGACTGCACGTCTGTGCTTTCCTGCGGAGTAGCTGGTTGGGTTCTTGGGCGTGCATCTTGCCATGCCCGCTGTGAGATGGCTGAGGAAAGCTACCCTGCCAGCAGTCACACACCCTGCCAGCCGTTGGAAAAGAAAAGGGGCGAAGAGAGCATTTTCTTCCATCCTGGCCTGGCTAGGATGCTGCTAACATCTTTCTGGAAGCAGGCTGGAGGCTCCAGTATCTTCACTAAAGTTTTTGGCCTGGAATTTTAAGCGGAAGACCCTCTGCCAAGCTATTTATAGAGACCATGAGGAAAGCTATTTGAGATGCGAGGAACCAAGAGCTTACAGAAGGAACACTCTGAGGCCATGACCTCAACGCTGACTATGACCTTTGATCATGACCTTGAGGCTTTGAGGTCTAAAGTAGCTTTCCTGTTCAGTACATCTCTCCACAGGCATCTTGGGGCTCCTTAGTAGGTGCTAACGCTGACGACACCAGCACAGGATTGGTTTCAGCAGGGACCAGGGGGGAGCCTCCAGCTGAAGAAAGTATTCAAGTATTTCCCTGATACCATTTAAACAAGGTTTATTTTTTGCCCAAGTACCTGTTGCAGAAACTCCTTATTTGAATTCTCAAGCCACACCTCCTAACTTCAGGCTTGCCGCCTGCATTATTTTATGTCTATAATGATTTTATATAGAGATATATAATTCCATAGTTCAATCACATCGAGGAGACGTGTACAATTGCTACTTCCATCAGTTTTCAAACATTCTTTTTCTACATGGACTTCTTGACATGGTCTCCCCTTCACGCCCACTCCACCACTGTACACCCTTCCTCCCGAAGCCCTTATTCTCCTTGCTGCCTCTATAGGTCCATCAATCCTGGATGAACAATGGAAAACCCTATGACACAACTTCAAGAGGGTGGCTCCCAATGACATAACACCTCTGAGATCCACTCTAAGATGAACTAATAAAAACCAAACAAAATCATACAAACCAAAAATACATACATTTTGGAAACCAGATCAGGTGCAGCCTGCATCATAGGGGGGGGTATCTACTGACAAAGTTTTAACTGTTCAAGTCAGATTGATGCCTTTGATCTTCTACACTCCTCTCTCCAAAGCTCTCTGTTTAGTGACCACTGTCCTCCCCTCCTTCACTTGTGGATAGAGAGACTTCTACAAGGACTTATTTCCCATGTAGTTCCACGAATGAATCTTGCTTGGCCTGCACTCCGGATACTCACAAGTTGGGCTCTGCTGTTCGTCGCATTAGCCTCTGTAGCCCTCCAAAGAGTGCAGGCAGGTCTCAACATTAAGACCTGCCACACACAGGCTATTGCTGAGTCATTCTGTGTGCTGGCTCTGGTTTGGACTCACGATTGCCTTTAGTCTCCCTGTCTAGAAAGTGACAGTGTTGTGAGCAATGGGAATTCTGTCATTCCGTTGGAAATGTGACCCACCATTACTTTTTGTACTTCATCTGCTAATGCTAGACGAAGAAAAAGGTGGACCTTTGCTTCCGGCAGATTCTTGCAAAGCTGCTGGTTTACAGACAACAGAGATGATCGTAGAGATCAGTTGGAGTCACTGCATAATAAAAGCGAAAATGAGCAAATCCCACTAGGCTTTTTCTCAGTGTAAAAGCAACTCCGTGCTGTTTTTAAAACCATAGGACAGTTGTTTAGAAAATATCGTATCAAAGTAATATAATTTTGTTTTGTTAAATGATCCTTTTTCTATGTAGAAATCTATGCTTTTCCCTTATTGATTCTTGGCACCCTTGGTTTTCAGGGAGAAATTGTATTCCTGTAGCCTCTTGAGAATAATGAGATAACTGTAGACATTTCCACTTTCTATTCAAGGTTCAAGTCTCATTAGAAGAAAAAGTAGTGGGAAAGGAACGAAATCCTTTTAAAACTTCACATAACTTTCTCTTTGGTCTGTTACAAATCCTCATGGCCCTGTTTAAGGCAGGAAGCCCAGGGTGATACCAGGGCGTTATCAAGAATGTTGCGTGAGCAAAGACAATTTAAAGACATTTAAAAATAGCTGAATCTATTTTGAATGGCTCTTGTGGTCTGGAGGGCAAGTCCGCTTTGCTGAGAGGAAGTTGAGAGGGGTTTTCTCCTTCCAAAGGCTTTCTCAAGTATGGAAAGAAGAAGCAAAAACGTAGTTTGTCTAGCTTGTCATGTTATTTATAGAAAATACTGATATCTAGATATTTCAGCTGGGTTTTTAAAAGACAACATTTTCCGTACAGATTACTCCCCAACTCTTGCTCATGAATGAGTAAGATAATGATCATGTTAGATTTGAGAATTTGATTTTTTTCAGTCAAGGAAAAAAATGACACCTTAGAAAAGAGAATCTTTATTTTTAATCTTAAAGCAAGCTCAATTTGGAGCAGCCTGTTTACAAATTTTCTTTATCTAATTGGTTTTCTTAGTATGAAATAATATTTCCAGAACTAATTAAAATGTCTTCCTAATGAATATTCAGGACCCAAAAATGTTATCTTTGTCATACAGTATATAATTTTTTAAATCATCCATAAAGGTAATTATATTTTACACATTCTTTAAAAGTCATATGGTGACATTGGTGCCAAGTGGATTGTTTGCTTCTTCTTAGGCCATGATTGAAGAAGCTATCACCAGAGCTGAGTCTTTCTCGGTGATGTACACACCATTTGCAACAACAATCAGAGAGGATAAAATAGAAAAAGTAAAAGAAGTTTTCACAAAAACGCACCCTGCGTATATGGATTATATCTACACAGGTAAGATTCAGTGCCTTCACAGCACCAGCCGATACGTTTTATTTCCAATAAAAGAAACACAGGGTTCTTTCTGGTTTGCCTAATGACCCCTTTTGGAGGTGAATTGTTTTAATTTGATAAAATATGAAGTTATCTTCAAACTTTAGCTCTCATCTCATGTGGCTAGTACAGTAATATCCCTTGTGCTTTCATATTTCTGTAGTCTAAGGCAAAAGAGGTCAACAAAAAGAAATGTTGGTTTTAAATAAGGAATGATGTCTTAGTTGTCTAGTGTTGCTACAGCAGAAAAACCACAAGCGGATGACTTAGCGAATAGAACTTTCGCCTCCCATGATCTAGGAGGCTGCAGAGAAGCCCTGATGGTGTAGTGGTTCTGTTTGGCTGCTAACCACGAGGTCGGCAGTTCAAAACCAGCAACTGCTTTAAGGAACATAGACGAGGCTCTCTGCTCCCATCAAGAGCTACAGTGTGTCTTCGAGGCACTCTGAGTAGGCACAGACTCAATGGCAGTGAATTAGATGTAGAGGAGGCTGGAAGTCTGAAATCAGAGTCCTAGTTCGAGGGGAAGGTTTTCTCTTTCTAATGACTTTGGAACTTTATCTCTTCAGCTTCTGCTCCCAGATTCCTTAGAGATTGTCACCTGTCTTAGGATCTCTCTTATCCTACCTCTCCTGGTCTCACTTGTTGAATCTCTTTTGTATGTCAACTGAGTATACTTCTCCTGTGGGTTTCTGAGACTGTAGCTCTTTACTGAAATGCAAACCTCATCTCTCGAGTCCAGAGAAGCTGGGGATTTCGAATGGCTGGCCTCGGATCAGCAGCCCAACGCATCACCACAAGGCCACCAGACGTCCTAGCCACAAGCACAGAAATGACAATTGCCAGCTTGTACTTTAGTGGGGACAGAATTCAACCCATAGCAAGCAGATGAGGGTCAATTGTTGTCTTTCCCCAAGCCCATCTTCACTCAGACAGTGATGAGAGCAGCCTTTCAATGATGGAGCTTTCCTGATGCTTCTTATTGCTGGGTCCTTCTGCGGGCTCAGGGGTTCAACACTCAGCTACTAATGGAAAGCTCAGTGGTTCAAACCCACCAGTCTTGCTGTTGGAGAAAGGTGTGGCAGTCTTGGAAGCTCCGTGGGGCACTTCAACTCGACAGGATTGCTATGAGTCAGAATTGACTCAAAATGGGGTGTGTGTGTGTGTGTGTGTGTGTGTGTGTGTGTGTGTGTTTAGGGTAGGGTAGGATAGGATAGGGCAGTGTCCCACAATCTATTTCACCCCTCAAGTCTCCTATTTTTCTTATGCTCTTGGATCCTGGCTATACAAATACATCTGGATAGCCAAAGGTGCTGTAGAGGACACACTGCTGGTATTGTGCTTTCTTCCTCTTTTCGTCTTTGGAAACTTCTTGCTCTCATAGACTCATTCAAAATTACTTTTGTATCAACTCTGTGCCCAGTAGGAGCCCTGGTGGTGCAGCAGTTAAGCACTCTGCTGTGAGCCAGAAGGTCTGTGGTTCAAACCCACCAATGGCTCTACAAGGGAAAAGTATGAGTTAGCGGCCCTAAAGACTATAGTCTTGGGAAGCCTCTGCGGCAGCTCTCATCAGTCCTGCAGGCTCACGATGTGTCCTGGATGTCCCAAGCGCTATTTTGATTTATAAAGACAAGGTTGTGATGCCAAATGAAGATCCACTCACCAGGACTCCCATGTTTAGGGAAATCTCTACCTGTGCACTCCTAACAGCACATTCTCCTCGCAAGGTCCTCTCCTCCATCCTTCAAGACGTGTGGGGCAGGTTTCCAATATATGTGATTCCTGATGCATACCATTATGAGTATTGACCACTTATAAGGTACCAGGAACCCTAAATCTGTTATCTCTTGAGGTTCCAATAATTTATGAGAATTAAATGACTTCTATTCAGAGACAAGAAATTGAAAAACACAAATAGCTTTCCCGAAGATGGGCACCAAGTCAGTGCTGACAGGACTGGACTTCAGTTCCTCGTTCTTCTACAGGACAGAAGCGGAGGTGCTACAGAGGCTTTGAATTGGGGTTCTGTAGACTCCTTATTTTCCTTGACTGTGCTTGACATGCTTCAGAGGAAAGATACTGAATAAATTTAACGTGATGGTGGCGGAGAAATTTCTAGAGGGAAAACGGGAATTTAAAGCAGAGAATGGGAAGAGAAGACAGTCCGTGCATGCCATAACAATCATTGATGCACATTTACTTAGTTCGAATATCCTATCAGGATTTGGAGCCCTGGTGGCATAGTAGATATGAGTTAGACTGCTAACTGCAAGGTTAGCAGTTCAAAACCACCAGCTACTTTGCCAGAGAAAGACAAAACTCGAAGCTTCCTACTCCCATAAAAAGCTACAGTCTTGGAGACCCACAGGGGCATTTCTACCCTGACCTTCAGTTTGGGTATTTGGTTTTATTAGAAAGTAATAGAAACCACTCCGGTGGCATAGTGGGTTATTCACTGGGCTGCTAACCATAAGGTCAGCAGTTTAAAACCACTAGCCGCTCTGTGGGAGAAAGATGAGGCTTTCTACTCCCATAAAAGTCAGTCTCAGAGCTAATGGGGCCGGCTATCGAAATATATAGTGTCTGGGGTCTTAAAGGTTTGAAGATAAACAAGCGGCCAACTAGCTCAGAAGCATCAAAGCCCACATGGAAGAAGCACACCAGCATGGGTGACCACGAGCTGTCAAAGGGATCAGGTATCAAGCATCAAAGAACAAAAAAATCATATCATTGTAAAGGTGGGTGAGTGCAGAGTAGAGACTCAAAGTTCATCAGTAGGCAACTGAACACCCCCTTACTGAAGGGCTGGGGGAGGAGATGAGCCAATCAGGATACAGGCTAGTAATAATGAAACATATAACTTTCCTATAGTTCTTAGTTGCTTCCCCCCCCCCCGCCCCCCCCCCTGCCCACTATCATGATCCCAATTCTACCTTACAAATCTGGCTGGACCAGAGGATGTACATTGGTACAGATAGCAACTGGAAACACAGAGAACCCAGGATAGATGACTCCTTCAGGACCAGTGGTGAGAGGGGCGATGCCTGGAGGGTGAAGGGAATGTGGAGTAGAAAGGGGGAACTGATTACAAGAATCTACATATAGCCTCCTCCCTGGGGGATGGACAGCAGAGAAGAGGGTAGAGGGAAACATCAGACAGTGTAACTTATGACAAAACTATAATAATTTATGAATTATGAAGGGTTCATGAGGGAGGGGGAGGGGGGAGGGAGGGAGAAATGAGCAACTGATATTAAGGGTAAAAGTAGAAGGCAAATGTTTTGAGAATGATGAGGGCAACAAGTGAACATATGTGCTTGACACAATGGATGGATGGATGGATTGTGATAAGAATTGTACGAGCCCCCAATAAAATGATTTTTTTTTTTAAAGTCAGTCTCAGAAACCCACAATGACCGTTCTGCTGTGGTCTCTGTGGCCACTATAAGTCAGAATCACACGTTGGCTGTAAGGTTGAGGACTTTTTTGTTTGGTTGGTTCAGTAAGTAGGTAGAAATAGAACTCACATTTGTTCTCGTGGTTTATTCATTATTCACTATTTGTGGATATTTTGAGAGGTTTCTTTGTCTGATGTCATGGAAAAATGAGTCAGATTCCGCTATCTCCTCGTCTACTCTCAGGTCTGTTAGTAAAAGACAGAGTCATCTGGGAAGATCTCCAGCTGACCACTCCTCCACTGGTAGAACAGGTTGACTTATATTTAACCTACTTCATTAGGAAGTCATGAAGATTAATTAATACTTAGAAGTACTATTTTCATGGAGCATTTAAAAAACAATAATAACATTAATGAGCCAGCTTCATGTCTCATGTAACTCCATCAAACCTGTTATCAGGATGAATTATGATCTGTGGGCAAGACAATTCATGCTAGAGGATCTTATACTTTGGAAGAGAAGATAATTATAAGTTACTAATGATTGTTTCTATTATTTTATAATTACTAATTGCTGGAGGATGACAGCGCTACAGGAGAACCCAGAGGGGAGAGGCACAGCTTCCGGAGGAGAGGGAGGACAGAGAAGGCAACCTTGCATTTTGAATTTCATTGGAACTTGGAAGGGTCTTTGCTCTGCGAAACAATGTGCTAAAAAGCTATGGCATGGATGACTTATTTGCCTCTGTTTGAAATGACTTAAGGGTCTTCCCCAACACCACTGTAATAGGTTGATAAAGAAACTACTATTTCTAGCTGTATGTGTACCATCTTAGAGATATCCCAACGCTTGCATCATACGTGCAAGGGAAGAAGAAAGCTCAAGGACTCTCTTTATTATTTGAACACATCTCCCAGAAGGTGCAAAGTAGGGATTAAACTGGACATCTGTAGTGAGAAATAGTAGCTAGATGGTAGGATATGGATTAAATTGTCTCCCCTGTGCAAAGGGAAAAAGGATGTGCTGAAATTCTAACCCTTTTAGGAGCGCTGAGTTTGTTCTGACTCATTGCAACCCAGCGCACAACAAAACAAAGGTCTGCCCGGTCCCGCACTGTCCTTTCAATTGTCCCGGTGCCTGAGCCCAGTGTGGCAGCCAGCGTCCATCCATCTCGCTGAGGGTCTTCCTCTTTTCCACCGCCCCACTACTTTAGCACACATGATGTCCTTCTCCATTTCATTTCTTGACAACTTTCCATTGTCCTAGATTCATTCTTCACACTTTCCAAGATCTGAGCCATAGCAGATGTTTACAGTGGGTTCTCTTACCTCGAGTTGTGCCCCACCAACAAAATGAAGATCCCAAAGGATCCACTCCCCCAGGCTGTAACCGACCCAAGTCATCAGGGTCGGCTCCACTCCCAGAGAACAACTCCTCCTCGGTCACATTTTGAGTGCCCTCTCAACCTGAGGGGACCACCCTCTGGCACTGTGTCTGACAATGTCCCACTGGCCTTTAGTAGGTCCCCAGTATCTGATAATATGCTGAAGCTATGCATTAGGT